TTCGTTCCCCTTTTCTTGTAATTATAGTTGTCATTAACGACATAAGGTACATCTTGTGACAGTAGAACTTGGATTTTGTTGAAATGTTTAATATCAGGAGGTCGTGCCGAGCCTCAAGCGACTCCCTGAAACTTCAAGAGGTGAGTAGATACGTCATATACATCCAAGAGTCCATTACAAGTGGTAGTTCTCGTAGGGAGGGTGTCACAATGCTGCCTGATATTTGTAGAAATTACAGTAAGGTAATTGAGGAAGTAGATCATGGTATTGAATATGATATTGTGTATATGGACTTCAGTAAGGCTTTCGATAGAGTTCCACATCAGAGGCTATTGAGGAAACTTAAGGCACACGTAATAGGAGGAAAAAAAAATTCCTGGGTAGAGTCATGATTGACAAATAGGCAGCAGAGAGTTTGCATAAATGGGGAGAAATCAGAATGGGGCATGTCACAAGCGGTGTTCCATGGGGTCAGTGTTGGGCCCCTTGTTGTTCACAATTTACATAAACTACATAGATGAGGGAATAAATAGCGATATAAGCAAATTTGCTGATGACAACAAAATAGGCCGTCTATTTTATTCTAATGAGGACATTAGAGCACTCCAGGATGATTTAAATAGACTGATGCAGTGGTCGGACAAATGGCAGATGCCGTTTAATATAGACAAATGCAAAATTCTAAATGTTGAACAGGACAATAACCATGCCACATATAAACTAAATAATGTAGATCTTAATATTACTGATTTTCGAAAAGGATTTAAGAGTTCTGGTTATCAGTAATCTGAAACCAAGACAACAGTGCATTAGTGTTCGCAATAAAGCTAACAGAATCCTTGGCTTCATATCTAGAAGTATAAATAACAGGATGTTTAGGTAAGACACATATGCAACAGTTAGGTATCTTTATTTCGAAACGTTTCGCCTACACAGTATGCTTCTTCAGTCGAGTACAGCAAAGTTGATAGACGCAGAAGAGACTTGAAGACGATGTAATCAGTCCATCACCCTTAAAGTTTTGAGGTGGTCAGTCCCTCAGTCTGGAGAAGAGTATTGTTCCATTGTCTGGAATAATATGGAGTTGAAGTGATAGGATGGAGCCTTATATAGCGCCAGGAGGTGAGACGTAGGTCACTAGTAGAACGCAGATGTTGGGAGGACAGGTCCCTCTCAAATCCAGCCTTTCTCACTAGCAGAGGTTGTTCAACAACCTCTGTGGGTGGGTTAATTGGACCTGACTAGCTTGTGCTAGTAGGTCAGTTGCCGTGCTTCTTTCTTAGTGAATGGGACATGACCTGACTACCTTAAGGCATTTAAGTCGGTGAGCCAATTGGACTTGCCTCGCATGGGCCAGTAGACCTGCTGCAGTGTTCCTTCTTTCTTGAGTTCTTAAGTGTGGTAGGTAGCGTGTGTGTATCTGATACTGCGACATCTACCGTCAATCCCTACAAGTATTTTAAGTTTGAAAAGCAGTAGTAATAGCATTATTATTAAGTCAGTACCTGATATTTTCTATTGAAAGGTGACTTGTTAGCTCAATATTAGTGTTCGGCTCACAGTCGAATACATCCAGGTTCAGTTCCAAGTCGTGCGGGCAAGTCTGTTCACTGGGTAATTATAGACTGCTGTATCGCATCTAGACAATCAAAGGGTATTATACATTACTTCAGACCTGGGCTTTGGCATGAGCTGAGGTAGTATAAAAGCTCTTAGCTTGTAAATTCAACAACGTAAAGAATCCCGACACTTGGTTTTCATTCCAGCTTGTCATTCCTCTTCACCCACAGTCTTCCCATTCTGTGTGGCCAGCATGTGTGAGAGAGAGAGCTTTCTGCTTAACTAACCTGATCTAATTTGTATAGATCGGAGCTGGATCAGCAGCTCATTTTTTTTCTTCAGCCGGTAACTTCGAAACAGATATATTTTATGCATTTGCTATGTACTCCAGCATTCCTATACTCTTCCTTCCACCCCTCCCCCCCTTTCCTGTCATTGACCAGGACTCCTTCCAGCGTGTCTTTGCATATTCTTCCCCCAGGATGACATCGGGATCAGCGGGGTGATCGGGTCAGCGGTGTTCAACATCATGTTCGTGATCTCTGTGTGTGCACTGTTCTCCGGGCGTGTGATCAACATCAACTGGTGGCCGCTGATACGAGACTCCACCTACTATTGCCTCGCTATCTTCGCTCTCCTGCTTACCATTTATGACGAGGAGGTTACCTGGTTAGTCACTCTTAATCTCCTCCTCCTTCCTACATTGCTCTTCTTCCACCAATAATAACAAAAAAGGCACAATACCGTAACTGGAACGATACACAAATAACCCGCACATAGAAGAGAGGAGCTTACGACGACGTTTCGGTCCGACTTGGACCATTTATTTTGTAAATGGTCGGACCGAAACGTCGTCGTAAGCTCCTGCTCCTCTCTTCTATGTGCGGGTTATTTGTGTATCTTCTTCCACCCTCCGTCTTCGCCCTCTTGTTCACTCCTCGCCCTCCATGTTTCTAGTTAGGGCCTCCTGTCGCCCTGGGCAGCGTACCACGGTGAACAAACCTCTTGACCATTTTTGCCCCATTACTTGAGCCTTTCAGCGACATTGTGAGAGGTTTTAAAAATCATCCAGGCTTTCTTAGGTCTCTCTTTATCCTTGCTTCTCAACTCTCCCAATTAGTGTTGCTGGTAGTCTCCCCGTATGTTGCACAGCGTGCGTCTCACAGTGTTTCTACTCCTACAGGTACGAGAGCACCTTCCTGCTACTGTTGTACTTACTCTACATCGTGATGATGTGGAATAACTCGCGCCTCGAGGTCTGGGCCAACACACTCAACGTGCCCTTCAAGAACGCCACCCAGGGCGAGAAGTCCACCCTTTTCGGCACAAAGCCCGTACCTCCCATGGGGGACCCTGGTCTGGTGAAGGACCCCACAGACCCTAATAACCCGGAACTAGGACAACAAGGTAGGACCTTTTCTATCCTTCTTTATTTCCCGCTCCTTACTTCCCCCCGCCCTTCCCATGTTTTCTTTCCTCTCGCCTTTTCCTGTCCAATCATTATTTACAAACAGGTTTGTAATACCCAACTGTGGCCTATCGAGGTCATATTTAATTTCGAAAAATAAGTCTCCTGTCATCTTTGAATGATTGATAGTATGTGAGCACTAGTGTTATATATATATATATATATATATATATATATATATATATAATATAATATATATATATATATATATATATATATATATATAATATATACTCTCACTTGGTTACTTGACGTAATAATTACACTTGGAAGCAATATCTTTTGTCACCTTGTGGGAGGGGTAATAGGTAATTTCCCATTAAAATGTGACCTTTTTTTTATATACTTCCTCCCCATTTGATAGATCACTCTTACCCTAATTGTTATGCTGGTGTTGCGCCCCTTTCCTGAATGAATGACGTGGTTGGCACCACTCCCTGCCCACCCCGTCCCTCGTGACGCTGGCACCACTCCCTGCCCACCCCGTCCCTCGTGACGCTGCCACCACTCCCTGCCCACCCCGTCCCTCGTGACGCTGGCCAACCTTATTGAGGTAACTGGATGTGTGTGTGTTATGGTTCCACTGCAAGCTAGACATTGGTCACTTTACCGTGGTGGCGGGGGTTGATCTACCGGGTGCTGGGTCACATTCCCATGATGGAAGAGTTTGAGTAATCTCAGTGAATAAAATCGCAACAACCCATTTTTCGGCGTGAGTAGTAGGGAAATTTTCCATATTGTTAATATTTGTTGTGATTTAAAACTTAAGCCTTGGAATAAACTGTGTATATGGTGTAGACTGCGACCGATGTCATTTTTTTTAGAATTGCTCTGATTGTTATGATTATTATATCTGTATTATGGCAGTAAATTAGCCAAAACAGCAGAAAGTTAACATTGTTATTAACAGATTGTTGAAATAATAACTCAGTGATAATGTTAACAACTTTTCGTGTTAATACTGAATAAACGATAGTTTTACATTAGTACTTAGTAAAACGTGCAACTCATCTCAGCCTTCTAGGTTTAGGCAAAGCCTGTTGTTGTTGACTCTGGTGGGTGGTTGTTCTTACCCATATGTGGTTGCAACTCGTGTACTCACCTAGTTGTGGTTGCAGGGGTCGAATCATAGCTCCTGGCCCCGCCTCTTCACTGGTCGCTACTGGGGTCACTCTTCCTGCTCCATGAACTTTATCGTACCTCTTCTTAAAGCTATGTATGGATCCTGCCTCGTGTGTGTGTGTGTGTGTGTGTGTGTGTGTGTGTGTGTGTGTGTGTGTGTGTGTGTGTTTGTGTACTCGCCTATATGTAGCTGCAAGGGTAGAGTCTTAGCTCCTGGTCCCACTTTTCAACTTACCACTTGTCATTTTAACTCTTAACCTCGTGGCGCTGTCGTACCGTCTCTTAACCCGTAAACGGTCCCAACGTATATATACGTTTTTTCGAAATTTGGATGTAAAAAAAAGTAGATCTTCTTTTGTGTTTTTTACATTTGAAAATGTGTAAAAAAACTTTGATCTATTTTTTTTGTTATATTTGAAAATATGTAAAAAAAAAAAAAAAAAGTAGATCTACTTTTGTAGCACTACACATGTGAACGTAGATCTGCTTGGACCGTTTACGGGTTAAATCTGTGTATGGATCCTACCTCCACTACTTCACCGGGATCGTTCCACTCGCAGCATGTCCGTCCATTTGTCTAAAGCTTGCATTTGATCAGTATATATTTTTTTGTGTTTGAGGACATGTTCAGAGTGTGAATCTATTTAGGAATGATGGTTGATGTCTTTGAGAAAGATGCACTCAATGAAGCAGATGATGACTCCCGTCTTGTGGTATAATAGCTGACTTTTGACTGTGCGCAAGGTAGGGAAGGAAGCCTTGTGAATTACCGAGGGACATCTTCCTAGTGTTCTTCAAATTGTATGGCATTTTACCTTGTCCAGGAAGTCAAGAGATGGCATGGCAATCCAAGAGAGTGGTGCATACTCAGGGATAAGTGAACTACATCTGTTTTTTTATTTTTTACACACCGGCCGTCTCCCACCGAGACTGCGTGACCACAAAAAAAAGAAAAGAAAAAAAAAAAACAATTTTTTTCCTTTTTACATTTTGTAATTTATGCAGGAGGAATTACTATCTCCTTGCTTATTTGTATTATTATAATATTTAAATGAAGCGCTATACTCGTGTACGGGTCATTAAGCTCAGGGTATGCAAAAAAGACAAATGCAGTATAATGTGATTATTGACGACATTTCACCCACACAGTGGGCTTTATCAAGTCACCAATACATTTTGGCTTTATACAGCCACTGTGTCGTCAGATAGAGGATTAAATAATACACATTTTGTGTTTCCATCTCATTAGTGTTTTATCCCAAATTTCTCTCCAAGCTTAAGGGATGGCGGAGGTTCGATCCTCTGCCAGTCGAGCTGAATATGAACTGTGTCTCACCTCAGTAACTTTCTCAGCCACAAGATTCAGTACTTCTGAGTCATTGCAAAGTAAGATTCACCACTAGCTTCGTTTTTTAGTACCAAGACAACCCCAAGCAGCAATATCATATCTAAAGAAAAGTTCCTTCAAGGGGGGTGATTTGTTGCCAGTGATGGTGGGCTCTTAAAGGGAATTGGTAATTTTCTCTTTCAGGGAAATAATACTGATTATCTGCCATCCTCCCAGGCACTGCTTGACTTTACGAGCTTAGCGTTTCCCGTGAATATAATACTGTAAATATAATTTCTGAGAAGGGTATTAGCTCCTAAACGTAATTCGACAACATTTCTCCCTAGGAAATGTAACCGAGTTAATGATTGGCGTACCTGTCGGGTACAAGTTGATTGTTGACGAACTGATGGTAGTGGACCTGTTTCGTACGTGAAACATTACAGTCGCCTACGTTATTACAGTCACCTACGTTATTAGTCACCTACTTTTTAAACAGTCGCCTACGTTATTAGTCACCTACTTTTATTACAGTTACCTACGTTTTTAACAGTTACCTACGTTATTTCAGTCATCTACGTTATTTCAGTCGCCTACTTTTTCAGTCACCTACGTTTTTTTCAGTCACCTACGTTATTCAGTCGCCTACTTTTTCAGTCACCTACGTTTATTTCAGTCACCTACGTTATTACAGTCCCTACGTTATTAGCCCACCTACTGTATTACAGTCGCCTACGTTATTAGTCCACCTACGTTATTACAGTCACCTACTTTATTACAGTCACCTACGTTGGCATGAGATTCGCTGCTAATGCATTTATGTGAAGTGTTAAACCCATACGAGTCATTCATCACAGAGTGGAAGCTCGATTCTCCTTTAATAATTAGGACAAAACTAATGGTCATCGCTTCAAGCCCGGAACAAGCAAACAAATGTTATTTTCGAAATATACAAATTGGTGAAAATTAACGACAGGGCATTTTGGGCAGACTAAAACTAGAACTAAAAAAAATAACCCAGATTGTATAGTTGTACATTTTATAATAATTTAATCAAATTGTCTGAAGATAAAATTATTAAATGTATTGAATAATTTCAGCATTAGTAAGGCCTCGCCTAGCTTACGCAGCTCAGTTCTGGTCCCCATATTACAGAATAAAAACATTATTTTGAATATTGTTTTGGAAGGTTTCGTATAAATAATTATTTGGAGGGGGGGGGGGGGTGGGGGGGGGCAAGAATACCGTGATGACAGTGTGTATGATTGCTGATTGGAATCTGTATAAGCAGGTTTACCTGAAGTTTACCTGGAGAGGGTTTCGGGAATCAACGCCCCGGTGGCTCGGTCTGAGACCAAGCCTCATGGTGGATCAGGGTCTGATCAACCAGGCTATTACTGCTGGTAGTATTAAGTATAATAATATCTAGGTGTATTTCGGTGACTGCGCCATCCAAGGAATGTATCCCCGTATTCCATAATCCCAGTCCTTTGTGCCTCTGTGCACACGGTGTGACTAGTGCAGAGTGCAGCATAAGTTGATACTGTAGTTAAATGTTAGTGTTGAAGATTTGAAGAGGATTAGAATAGTCATTCATAAGTCACATATAAACGAATATTCAAATTTCTTTAATAAGTATTGTAAATTAAGACAGATGCAGTCCAGATCTAATTCAACCCTTTCAAAGAAATTAATATTCTGAAATCCAGAAGCACATTTAGCCTGAAGTCACACACAAGTTACATTATCACGTTATGAGCGTGGAAGGTTTGAAGCTGATCAGATGTGCCACTCGGACATTATTGCACGAAAATCAGTATTTAGTTTTTCCAGTTTCTCCCAGAAAAGCTAATTGGGACCTACACAGACTAAAATCAATCTAAACTTTTCTCTAAGTAAGATTGACCAACTTTTAAGAAAGTAAGTTTTATGTAAGCCTAGTGTACGCAGGGCCGGATTAAGAAGTCTCCGGGCCCTAGGCTATTCAGATTGGCGGGGCCCCTTTGAGTTACGGTTAAGCGAAGCGACTCCTTCCAGCTTGGGGGTGGGGGGGGGGGGGGTGGGTGTGAGCCTTTTTAAAGGTCAAATTTAAAATACATTCTGGCTATTTAGATTAAATTTAAAATAGGGAAAGTACATCAAGAAAACCAAAACCATTTACCAACAGCCATTATAACTATTTTGTTAAATCATGCATTTTAAAGAGAATAAACTCAAGACAGCATAGTATTACTAGATTAGTAAATTAAAGTAGTGACATCATGTACCTATTATATTCAGCATAACCACTACAGCACTATTATTCCCTTTATAAATCACTGACCATTATTGTTATCATTGCATCATGCAAGACTATCAGATCATATAAACTCAAGAAAGTAAAGAATTGTTTATATTCACAGGCACTTCTTAAATAATTTTTTTTTCGGGATTTCATATTTGGCAAAATCATCAATTATATTCTGAAAATCAATATTTCTTGTTAGATCAGACTCAATGGTCAACAAGGCTAGGTTACACGATTTGTCTTGGCTCATTGTTGAACGGAGCTGGTTTTTCACTCTTTTCAAAACAGAAAATGAACGCTCTCCTTCACA